CCTCCTTCCCTGCATCAGGGTGTGGGAGGGGCAGCTAGCCCACCTTCCCCCTGACTGAGGCTTTGCCTACATAGGGGAGGTTGCTGTGGGGTTTCTCTTAACATCTTCAAAGCCCCTTGTGATGCTCATCCAGCACAACCTGGCTGGGGGAGGCCACATGTACTTGAGCATGAGGGATGAAGGCAGACAGGAATGTTTCTAATAGCACAGTGTATTCTACCTTCCAGCACTGAGGTCTGAGCCCCTGCTGGTACAGACTCTCAGCAAACTGTGTTTTGTGCTGAGGCTGGTGGAGAGCAACAAAATGAAGCAGGCGCTGTGTGGAGGTGTGCCAGACCCTCCTGCAGGTGCCCCCAGGGGAAATACCATGACCACTAAGGCAGTCTTCCTAGTCGCTGGGGATAACAGGGTATCCAGACTGGAATAAGCTCCCTCCAGAGGTGGTGCAATCACCTACCCTGGAAATCTTCAAGAGAAGAGTAGACAGGCACCTTGCTGGGGTCACCTGACCCCCAGTTATCTTTCCTGTTTGGTGCAGGGGGCCGGACCCGATTATCTTCCAAGGTCCCTTCCGGCCTTGCAATCTATGAGTCTATGAACTGCTTTTCTGGCACGGGGTAGTACCAGGGTGGAGGTAATGTATTGTTAACCTCCCACTTTAATTTCCAGTGGGAAGATTTTGGCTTTACATCCACTTTACGGAAATGGGAGACTCCTCCCTAGCTTGCTCCTGTGGGCAAGCAAAACTTAGGGGCATCTGAACCTCAAGCCTCCAGACTTAAGTCTGAATGTAGGATGTCTGCCAAATGATCTGAGGCCCCAGGTGGGAGTGGAGGATGTTTGCTGGTAGTAGGGCCATATTTGGTCTTGAATGACTTGTGGATTTGGAATTGATTTGGCTTGGCACACGAAAAAAATTCTTTGAAAATAAAAAAGGTGCCCCCAGTGGGCACCCAAGGCCTAACACATTGCCTGGAGTCCCACTGGAGTGTCCCACACAGGTAAACAGGGCCTCCATTGTACTTCCTGAGCCTGATCCAAATACGAGTGGAGAACCCTCCCCTCCCTGGGCTGGTTGGAAGCTCTGAGCAGCTAGCAGGATTGGGCCCTTTATGACTCTCACAGAGTACTTCCCAGGAGCTATCACCAATCACCAAGGCTGAAGCTGCCTATAGGCCCTGAGGCTCTTGAACCAAGGACAAATGGAGCAGATTGAATCCTAGTTGTCTCTAGTCCCCTGATGCCTGGTCCGCCTGTCCCAAATTCTCCATCTGCCTGGAGCAAAGCAGGAGCTACCAGGGCATTGTCATGATCACCGGGTCTGCATTCC